CTTTCAGACTTTCTATAATTTTAAAGATCTGATTCTGTGGACTCTTCATTTTAGAAGCATTATTTATTCTTTAAATGTTTGTTAAACTGACTTTCTGTGAGGTTTTGAATCATTTGAACTTATTGAATCTGTAGTTTTCCTTCAGCAGCTCAGTAAGACCCAGGAACCGGTCCTGAGGAGCAGCTGGTACCTGATGGGATAGTCTGCAGCACTCAGGTTGATGAAGAAGTCCCAGGACCAGTCGCTCATGAGGAGGAGGTCCTTCATGCTGCGCAGGTACATGCTCAGGAGGCTGGCTCCGCCCCAGATGGTGGCCATCCTCCAGGGAGTCACTCTGACGTTGGGAAACCGAGCTGCCAGAGACAGAACCTCTCTGTGGAGGTAGTTGGACCTCTGAGGAGGGGACAGGAAGCAAGGTGACATCTTGAAAAAACTATTCCTGTCGACTTCCCAGCAGGAGGCAGTTAGGGTTAGAAACAAAGAAGTCACCTGGTCCACATGGATGTAGTAGTAATGTGACGTGTGGTAGACCGCCTTAAAGAGGCGCTGCAGCTGCCGGGAGGCTCGGCCGTGGACCACAAGGACGAAGGCCAGGCGCACAGGTCGAGCAGGGCCCGAGGTCTCAGCAGTGTCCCACTGAGCCTGAACGTTAGCTTTACCTGAACAGAGAGGTCACAGCCAGGTACCATGAGACAGTGTGTCCAAACAAACACACAAAACACACACCAGTGTGTCCAAACAAACACACAAAACACACAACAGTGTGTCCAAACAAACACACAAAACACACAACAGTGTGTCCAAACAAACAAAACACAAAACACACACCAGTGTGTCCAACCAAACACACAAAACACACACCAGTGTGTCCAACCAAACACACAAAACACACAACAGTGTGTCCAAACAAACACACAAAAATACAACAGTGTGTCCAACCAAACACACAAAACACACACCAGTGTGTCCAAACAAACACACAAAAATACAACAGTGTGTCCAACCAAACACACAAAACACACACCAGTGTGTCCAAACAAACACACAAAACACACAACAGTGTGTCCAAACAAACACCTACCTGAACAGAGAGGTCACAGCCAGGTACCATGAGACAGTGTGTCCAAACAAACACACAAAACACACAACAGTGTGTCCAAACAAACACACAAAACACACAACAGTGTGTCCAAACAAACACACAAAACACACACCAGTGTGTCCAAACAAACAAAACACAAAACACACAAAACACAACAGTGTGTCCAACCAAACAAAACACAAAACACACAAAACACAACAGTGTGTCCAACCAAACAAAACACAAAACACACAAAACACAACAGTGTGTCCAACCAAACAAAACACAAAACACACAAAACACAACAGTGTGTCCAACCAAACAAAACACAAAACACACAAAACACAACAGTGTGTCCAACCAAACAAAACACAAAACACACAAAACACAACAGTGTGTCCAACCAAACAAAACACAAAACACACAAAACACAACAGTGTGTCCAACCAAACAAAACACAAAACA